GTGGGGTTGCGTGTGTGTGTGCGGCGGCAGGGGGAGTGATGGAGCGTGGGGTTGCGTGTGTGTGTGCGGCAGAGTCTGTGTGTGTGCGGGAAGCGGCGCGGTGGGGCTTGGAGTGGGCATGGTTTCCGCAGAGGGAATGTTGGCCGGAAGGCCATGTGTGCGCGCGATGGAACTTGTGGCTGGGCGCCAATGCGCATGCTCAGTTGTTTTGCCGTTTTGTGAGTGTGTTGTGTTGTTTTTCATTTTGAGTAGATATGTTTGTACCTTGTGGGTTGTGTTATGGGCATGGGAATTTTGGTTAAGTTTCGTTGGGGTTTTTTTGAGTTTTGTTCTTTTGCCGCTTTGTGAGTGTGTTGCTGTGTTGTTTTTCATTTTGAGTAGATATGTTTGTACCTTGTGGGTTGTGTTATGGGCACGGGGATTTTAGTTAAGTTTCGTTGGGGGATTTTTGAGTTTTGTTGTTTTGCCGTTTTGTGAGTGTGTTGTTGTGTTGTTTTTCATTTTGAGTAGGTATGTTTGTACCTTGTGGGTTGTGTTATGGGCACGGGGATTTTGGTTAAGTTTCGTTGGGGGATTTTTGAGTTTTGTTGTTTTGCTGTTTTGTGAGTGTGTTGTTTTGTTGTTTTTTATTTTGAGTAGATATGTTTATACCTTTTTGGTTGTGTTATGGGTACGGGGATTTTGGTTAAGTTTCGTTGGGGGATTTTTGAGTTTTGTTGTTTTGCCGTTTTGTGAGTGTGTTGCTGTGTTGTTTTTCATTTTGAGTAGGTATGTTTGTACCTTGTGGGTTATGTTATGGGCACGGGGATTTTAGTTAAGTTTCGTTGGGGGATTTTTGAGTTTTGTTTTTTTTCATTTGCCGTTTTGTGAGTGTGTTGTTGTGTTGTTTTTCATTTTGAGTAGGTATGTTTGTACCTTGTGGGTTGTGTTATGGGCACGGGGATTTTGGTTAAGTTTCGTTGGGGGATTTTTGAGTTTTGTTGTTTTGCCGTTTTGTGAGTGTGTTGTTGTGTTGTTTTTCATTTTGAGTAGATATGTTTGTACCTTGTGGGTTGTGTTATGGGCATGGGAATTTTGGTTAAGTTTCGTTGGGGGGGTTTTGAGTTTTGTTTCCTCGTTGGATGCCCCTAACAAATTTATATATATAGATGTTATAGAAAACATACCCACTTGTCCCTCCCACCAGAGTCCCATAGAAGTTCGAGAGAGCACATAAGTCTAAAGGGAGGTGGTTTCTCAGTAATAAACGTGCTGCCTTCTGCTGTATATGAAACCTAGGGCATAAAACCTTGATTAAATGTACACACTATCTAACATGGGAAGGGTCCTTGTTGTTNTTTTGTTAGTAAATTAAATCTACACAGAAGCCTAGTGTATCACCGAGGATGTAGAAGTTCAGTAATGGGTTTTCAAATAAAATGATACAACCAGTTGGCAGTGAGTACTATATAGCAAGTACATTTTCTCATTAATTCTGAGTGACCTTCCCAGAGGGGTACCAGGATAGTGCAGAATTTATTTCAAGATGACTTATTTCAGGAGGGTGAGGTTTGCTGCTCAAAATGCCTTCCCTGAAGACCTCTTGTTATAACACTGGTTTAGGACTGTGTGTCTTCCTGTTTATATAGTTTATGAAGAAAAGCTATTTCTGGAAATAGGTGTCATTTTTGATGAGATCTTTCAAAGCTTTCATGCTTTTTCAAGAGATGACTGGTCCAAATTCTTTGCCATCAGTTATCTATTTTGGAATTAACATCATACTTCAAGATGACCAGTGTTGAGGAAGGAAGGAAGCAATTAATTATTTATATATTATTAGTTTTCATGGCTGCAAACATTAAACAACACTAAACAGGCATCCACAAACTTTCCATTTATGATGACTAGCACTAAAGACCAAATGTGGTGTATCTTAGAGTACTTGAACCACATATGTGTATACTCTCCAATAATGTCATATCCCCTCAAACATTTTGGACTAAGACCCTTACCCATTTTGGTCGGTTTTTAGGAGTAAGCAACTTTTATTCATACTTTTAAGGGTTCCTTTCATGGCCAAGACAGAGCATGACTTAGAATCATAGAGTTAGAAGAGACCACAATGATCATCCAGGAACATATAATTAAAGTACCCCCAACAGATGGCCATCCAGCCTCTGCTTAAAAACCTCCAGAGAACTCTACCACACTCCAAGGCAGCATATTCCACTGCCAAACAGTTCTTACCATCTGAATGTTATTGAAAGATAGAGGGGACCACATAGAGTATCTACAATTCGTGTGAACATGATTTATTCATTCATTTCATGATACTTCCAAGAGCCTCATCACACTAGAGAAAAAATCCACTTAAAATCCGGTTTCTGCCTCCTGCAGAATTCTGGGGTTTGTAATTTACATATGAGCCTTTAACAGCCTCACTAAATTTTCACATATTCCACATGAGATGTCTTAGTATTGTAGTGAGCCAAAACTAAACTGCTCATTTGGAAATATTGTATCTTATGTGTTGTTATTATTGAAATATTGTGTCTTATGTGTTATTGTATCTTAGCTTACAGAAGGCTAGCATTTCAAAGGAAGGGTTTCCTCCCTCTCTTGTCTTCTTAATGTACTGAGTTTGGATGTGTAAGGATTGGCATCAGTGAATGTCCAAAGAGCCAGTCTTTCACTTGTATTCTGAAGCAGAACAGTCCCAGAGAGCTATTTCACGTGATTATTTTGAAAAAATGGCATGACCTATAGTGTAAAAATTTCCATCTTGTTCTAAGCTATGCTTTGGGTGATTTCTGTTGGCCTCTCATTCTCAGGTTCACCAGTCCCCAAGCAGAGCTGTACCAGGCTGTATTGGAAATACAGAAGTCCTGCCTGAGGCTCTGCTCTCCTGGTGTGAGTCTAGAGAACATTTACAGTCTCATGCTGACCCTCATTGGACAAAAGCTAAAAGATGTGGGGGTCCTGCAAAAAAGCACAAGTGAGAACCACCTCTTCAAGGTACTTGGCCTTCTTATATTACAGTCTGCTAATTCTGCTGCTTTTCTCCACTGGAGAAAAACGTATTCAAGGAACACTTAAAATTAAAACCACTTCAGCTTTACACTGACAAATTTCTGTTGAGATAGTTGTCTGTGAACTTTCTGGTACTAAAGCTAGTCCAAAAATGATGTTGTCTGTAAAACTAAAGGCTTGCACCAAGTGCCACTTTCATCCAGCAGATGGCAGAACATTAAGATTGTTCAAGGCATGCAATGGTTTGATTCTTGACAAGTGTCATTTGAGTGGGGTGGAGATAGGAGGTGGCACCGTTTTAACTTGTCACTGAGAGCATTAAGCAGAATTGCTAGACTGGGGGAGGAAAATGCCTAATTTTGTGATAGTGGTGAGAATTATGAAAGACATTTTTACACAGAGTATTTTGTGTTTATGAAAACTGAAGAACTGCCTCTTCTGTAAATGAGTCATTTTCATTCTGCTTAGCTATGTTAAAGCGGCCTTGCTTTCTTCTCTGATGGACAGATGCTTGGCTTTTCGTGTCAGAAGCGAATTGAGGGTACAGGCATAATATATTTAAAAACACAAACAAAATTTAAAAACTTAGCATTATACTAAATGTCCTTTGACCAGTAGCTGGCCACTTGGAGCGCCTCTGGTGTTGCTATAAGGAGGTCTTTCATTGTGCATGTGCCAGATAGGCACATGCAGATAGAAGCACAAATAATATTTCAGGAAATATCATATTGACAGATAGAAGCACAAATAATATTTCAGAAAAGGTCATTTCCATCTTTTAATCATGATTTTCTGTAATGTTAAACAAGATCAGACATCCAGGCTCAGACAGACTTTCTCATCTTAAAATAAAAGATAGGATTCTCTGTTTAAGAACAAGAAAAGCCTAAGATGTATATTGGCACAAAACTGTATTTCTGGAAATCAGTCAGTCACTTCATGTCCATTAAATAAATAAATAAATAAATAAAACCCTATACTCAATGTATTTCGCTCTTTGGTAAGATGCTTGGTAATAAACACCTGAAGCACAACAGAATAATGTGAATGATATTTAAGATGTTCAAGGATAGGAAAAGCAACTAGGAAAAGAAACAGCTCTTTAACAAAGTCTGCATTTACAGCAAGTTTCATATACTGTATTACTTGAAAACTCTTGCTGTGTGGCTTTTCATTTCAGAGATAAAAAGCACTGGTCATTTTTATGGCTGTAATATCATATTCTTGTGCTAATTTTCCAGTTAACTTTAAATGATATTTAATACTAATGTGATTTTAGTGTCAGACAGCCTTGCTGCAAGGATCTGAATAATTTTTGGCTCCCACTATTTACCCAGGAATGGTAGTTTATATAGAAAAAAGCAAATAGATCATATATCTGTAAATAGGGGTGGGTGGTTTATTTCAAATGATACAAGCAGCCCCCATTACAAACAAGATAGGTTCTGTAAGTTTGTTCTTAAGTTGAATTTATGTGTAAGTCAGAAAAGCTGCATTTTAAGTGTAACTCCAGCTTATCTATCTATCTATCTATCTATCTATCTATCTATCTATCTATCTATCTATCTATAGCTTTGGATAGCATAGGGAAGGGTTAACACACACACCCCGCCCCGTGGAGTTTGTTTTGCTGCCTGTGCCCCTGTTCAGAAGATTTCACTTAGCTTTTGTCGTTGTGACAATTGGATTTTGAAAATTTTAGATTATGGAAATAAAGATTGGTGATAAACCTTCAGTGGAGACACCTTTTCCTCATAACTCTTACAAGAGTGAATTTCCCTTCCTAAGGGTAGTTTTATTTTATCTGTTTGTTTGGTTGTTAGCCGTCCCAAGTCCTTCCGTGGAGATGAGGCAGGGTGTAAATAAAGTGCATTATTATTATAAGTATTTTTTCTCTCACTTACTGTTGTCTCACTCCTGCTCTTAAATATGAGTTTTTTGCAAGTCAGTTGTTTGTAACTTGGGGACTATCTGTATATTATTATTTCAAATATATCAAATGCAGTAAGAGCCCATAGAATTGAATTAGAGGTGAGAGGAGAATATTGTCTTCTAAATAATTTTAGAGGAACTATTCATACAGAGCCAGTTGTCAGTCATGAGGTATTGCTAGCAGGAAGGGGAAACAAGCTCTGGCCTAGGTGGTAAAATGAGCTATGTCCTCTAATGATAGTGCACAAAGTAGCGATAGGAAAAACCTGTTTGAAAGAGTGCTAGAATAGTAGCTCAATTCCCAGATGTTACAGTGTTACAGAGTGGGCACTGATTTGGATATATGTTGAAAAATCTGAATCACTCTAGACTTGAAAAGCATGTTTATAAAGTATAAATTAAAAATACTGCTTTGAGTCCCCCCAGGGGTGAGAAAAGTGGCATATAAATACTGTAAATAAATAAATATAGCCATGTATGCCTGATTTGGTGTGCAAAGGGATATTGTAACATCTTTGAGACTGAGAGATTTTTATAGCCTAAGCTTTTATAGACTGAGTCCACTTCATCATATGTAAAGTATTAAAGCAGTATGGAGTATAAAGCAAAATGTTTGGTGTATAATACTAAGACCATAGGCACATTATAAACAAGCCAATAAGCCTAAGAAAGAATGTAAACAAATCACCAGCGTATATCCAACCCACTGTAAGGGTTATTAGTGCAACATTAAATGTTACTGGTTGATGCAATCTGATGGAAGACAAGCAACAACTACTAGTCATTAAGTATTAGATCCTAGAGCAAAAACAAGTAAATAATTTTCATCTGATTGAAAAGAATATTATTTACATAAGCTGGTAGAAATGAGATACCATGAGGCCAGCATCAAATTCTCTTTTAGCTGACAACTGCAAGAAAGGATTAAACTATATGCTCAGTAAGATACAAAATTATCGGGTCCAGCAGTTGTACATTACACAATTCAGCTTTCCCCCGATACCAATCTATCTTGAAATTCTACTTAGAAGATGATGGAAATTCCTTTATCATATATTCAGGGAAAATTACCAATGTTTTCAGTGGTTGAGAACCTGAGAAGATTGATAGTGTTTCTAGCATGAGGATAAGGGTTCCAAGGATGATAATATATTATATCCTAAACCAAACTGGAGCTTGGTGATCTGATTTGAAAGCATAGTAAGCATTTATCTGAAAATTCATGGATACATACTAAATAGAAGCTGTGTTTCTGGACATCAGAGCTATATACCCACTAATTAGTCTATACTCCCAGATGCTCACATTTGAATGTAATAAAGACCACTAAACTAGTTGCTAATGTAACAATAAATTCCTTGGGTTTTCATTTAAGACAAGACATTATAAAACGGTGTGTCTATACAAACTGCTCTAGCGGTATGCAAGCAGAGACAAGTTATTATTTGAGTCCCTCCTCTTTAGGGTGTCAAACTATACTTAAAAAGTCATCTCCTCCATAATTGTTTACTTTAGCAACATGTTGTTTCATTGCTTGTAGGCTGTTCGTAAATACTGCCCCCATCATGTAGGGCATTATCTGGGAATGGATGTTCATGACACACCGGATGTATCCAGATCAATTCCCCTCCAACCAGGCATGGTGATCACAATTGAACCAGGTAAAACGGTGCTTTATCAACAGTACTAGAAGTAAAAATGTATATGTGTATTCACATGTTTTCAGAATTGTTCTGCAGTTGTCACAGGTGGTCTTTTCCCCCTAATTTGCCATCTTGAGCTTGAATGTTTTTAAAAGCACATTTTAAACTGTTACAGCTATAAAACTAAAACATATGTTGGTGTGGCTATCCAGAAATTTGTTTATTTGTTGTAGATAGAACTGATGGGAGTTGGGAGGCCAACATCTAGAGGATCACAGATTCCCCAGCTCTTATTGTACAATATAGAAATCCTCGATGTACATAATAAACATCTTTAGCAAAAATACAGAATGGGGGATACCTGGCTCAACAGCAGTACTTGTAAAAAAAAAGATCTTGGAGTCCTCATGGACAACAAGTTAAACAAGAGCCAACAATGTGATGTGGCAAATAAAAAAGCCAACGGGATATTGGCCTACATAAATATGAGTCTAGTTGGCTATATGGTTGATGACAAAGTTTTTAACATGTTTTTAACTTAATGTTTTATTCACTGTTTTAAATTGTTGCTATTTGTGTTTATATTTGTATTATATCGAGGCTTCAGATTTGTAAGCCGCTCTGAGTCCCCCCTCGGGGGTTGAGAAGGGTGGGATAGAAATATTGGAAATAAATAATAAATAATAGTGTCTAGATCCAGGGAAGTCATGCTACCCCTCTCTTCTGCCTTGGAGAGACCACACCTGGCATACTGTGTCCAATTCTGGGCATCGCAGTTGAAGGAGATGTTGATAAGCTGTAATGTGTCCAGAGGAGGGCAACTAAAATGATCAAGGGTCCAGAGAACAAGCACTATGAGGAGTGGCTTAAAGAGCTGGTAATGTTTAGTCTGCAAAAGAGATGGCTGAGAGGAGACATGATAGTCATGTATAAATATGTGGGAGGAAGTCATAGGGATGAGGGAGTAAGCTTGTTTTCTGCTGCCCTGGAGACTAGGACGCATAACAATGGCTTCAAAATACAGAAAAGAAGATTCCACCTGAACATGAGGAAGAACTTCCTGACTGTGAGAGATGTTCAGCAGTGGAACTCTGCCCCAGAGTGTTTTGGAGGCTCCTTCTTTGGAGGCTTTTAAACAGAGGCTGGATGGCCATCTGTCAGGGGTGCTCTGAATGTGCTTTTCCTGCTTCTTGGTAGAATGGGGTTGGACTGGATAGCCCATGAAGACTCTTCCAACTCTGTGATTCTATCTCCTCATTCCCCAGGAATATGCTGTGTTGGTGTGATTCAATATTTTGATTATGTGTTTGGGATCAGTATATAAGCCTCTTTCAGTTTAGTTCTTGGAGCCCCTGGTGGCACAGTGGGTTAAACCCCTGTGCCGGCAGGACTGAAGACCGACAGGTTGCAGGTTCGAATCCGGGGAAATGATGTGAAGGTTTTAGGTTTCTCCTGGATTAATCTTTTGCCGCAAGGAAAGAAAGAGAAAAGGTTTGATACTATTTTTGAAAATATAAAATCAAGCTACACACACAAAAGTATCTTCATCCTGGCTGAAGCACCCAAGCTCCATTTTTAGTGGAATACACAGAGGAACTGAACAGTTTTTATATTGACAAGAACAGAGATGATTTGAGATGATGGAAGAGATAATTCCTGCAGTGACCAAGATAGTTATCCATCAATACTTGAAGATGCTGTCTTGGTTTTTAAGTTCTTTTATGTATTATGACAAGAAGAGATTTGCTGCTTCTACTTCTTCATTCTCATAAAAGTACAACATATTACCCATATCAGAGAACAAAAATATACTATCCTAACTTAATATCTGCAGCAGCATTGCTGTGATGGTGAGTTAGCTGTGACAGATATCTTCTTTTCCTCAGCATGGGCTAAGGCAAAGTCTTGAAGGAATGTGGTTGATGATCAAAGGAAAGCTGAGAAACAAATAGCCACTGCAGCCAATGGAAGACATCTTTCCGTTTCATTCTTGTAGAAGGAACTGTATAAACTGGGACTAAGCATTGAAAAATACTTCTTGTTGTATGTTGTCTGTCCCCTAATTGTGCTTAGGTGGCAGTGAACATGATGAGTAATTGCTCTCCTTTCTGACTAAAGTATATTAAAATAATAATGAGGTTTTATTACTTACATTAATTATTCTCAAAGTATAGCACGCACCTTCAGAAACATGCATAGCTATCTATTTGCAATCCATCTCCTATGTTGTTCCAACTAATGCAATGCAACAGGATGTTTATTTTTATTGCACTAGTACTGGAAACAGTGGGAAAAGTCTGTTTTTCACTAGCTCCTAGAATCTATTCAATGCTATTGGTCCATTTAACATCACTTCTTGATTTTCATAATATCCTCAGGGTTGAAGATAAATGTTTTTCTTAGTTTAAATCAGAGAGAAATGTTTGGACCTGAAAGCTTTTCCAGATGGAGAGTTCATAGCTCTATCAAAAAGTGTTGTTCTTATTCCATCTTTTCCTCTTTATTAGAGTATCAAATATCAGGAAATAAAAAAATGATAGAAAAAATGGGAAAGCATGATAAAGTCATTGCACCCTCTGTAAAATCCCATGAATGAAGCAGAACAATTGTACTGTAAAAGCTTTGTCTGAAAATACACTAAGCCTTTAATTATTGTTATATTTCTAAAAACGTGTTCTGGCATATTGCACTTATGCTGCATAATTTGCAAAACAAGAGCTTTAGTTTTTGATCACCAACTTGATTTCCAGGCATCTACATTCCCGAAGATGATGTAAATGTTCCTGAAAGATTTCGTGGCATTGGCATACGTATAGAAGACGATGTTGTAGTAACTGAGAGTACACCAGTAATCCTTTCTGCAGACTGCCCAAAGGAAATATATGACATTGAGCAGGTCTGTGGCTGCAGCCCTTGACTACTCTTAACTGCCTTTTACACCTTGCTCAGGTAAAACTCAGGAAATATACACTTTTAGGTATAATCAGATCTTGTGTTATCATTATAGTTCAGTTTTAAGATTGATAGTAGAATTTCTCTTAAAAATTTCTTTGTGGAAATGTGTGCAAATATTTTAGAAAACAAAAGTGCTATTGAAGTGAATGAAATATATTTTGATGTTTGACAGGTATTCTGGCTTGATGCTAATGGAAAAGAATTCAGATATAGAAACTGGATTCCATGCCACTCTCTGAACTATTTTTGCTCTTCTGTAATACTGTAATAGTATTTCTGTTACATACGCTGATATCTTGAATTATGGTTCATTTATTTATTATAGAGAAAGTGGAGGCTAAATTTTAGTGTTCACATAGATGGCTCTAAATTTTAATTTCAAGAGACAAAAAGTATTTTGTCTTTCATCTTCTCTACCTTTTTTCAACTATATCAGTGCTAGCATTTTGACTGAGTAATAGAGGTCATAGACAGTCAAGAGAAGGTTCTTTTAAAAATACAAAACAGAGGCTTTAGTATTTAGTAGACATATACAGATATCAAAATGAGTCCTTTTTATGTTTGTGACAAGCAGTGAACAGTCAGATCCTAGGCAGAAAGCTCCCTCAAAGGCCATCAACCATATGAAGTTAAGTACATCTACATCTCCATAGAACTGAATGTTTATATTACTCGACAACAGGCAGGTCAATGGTCAATTTTAGATGTACAAGCTCTTCTGATACATATACTTACTGCATTCAGGATGCTTGCTTCTGAGTTTGGAATACTTTCACTTTACATTTTTTGAACTTGTAACTTTCCTTTAACGCCTTAAAGAGACACTGAGAATAAAATAAAACAGGGGCATTTTAGGAGTTTTTAACCGTACATTTTATGTTATTATAGATGCCCCAAAACAAAAATTTCTCACTCTGTCAATGTAATATATCAACAGAGAACAAAAGTAAATATAAAAAGTCAGCTATTTTTCTGCAAGTAAAAACCCAAAAATAAATAACAGAAACTAACTAAATGAATGAAATTAAAGCTTGATACGGTTTTAGTAAGCTCAAGCTAAATCTTTTATCACAGAAATCTTGTAAAGGAGTAAATGTTACAAAACTATCCAACAAACAGACTTTGTCTGAAAAGCACTTTTTGGATCTCTGGATTTAAGGTATTATATTTATACAGAATAACATTATACATATTTATATATAATATGCAAATATATTTTTCTGCTAAGTACTCAAAATAACTCTAGTAATAGCATCCTTTAAAAATAGCATTAAAATTCAAGTTAACACAATTTCTGATTTGGGAGGCTTTTGCTCATCCCTGAGTATCATCTTGTTATATCATCCTTGAGATGATCACTGAGTGTATGTACAGATGCATATGTACAGAAATGTAGTATTTTAAAGGAGCATGAGTAGATAGGTATAAGCATTTGATAAGAAATACAATTCTGAGCTGCTCCTCTGTGAGGCTGTAGTATAAAAGATACACCCAAGGGTGATTTATATAGCTCTATATCACTCTTGGGTGATCTATGTAATTCTGTGCCAGCCAAATGTTAAGTTGCCCTTTCTTAGTTAAAAGCAGCACATATTCTTTCTGCCACAAGTCAACATTCATCTGCTGACAGATAGAATTTTAATGTATTACTGGCCCTTAGTGCTGGAAAACAGAACAGGAAAGGAGAACCTCACTTTTGGTATAAGTCACCTGAAGAAGGACGCTGGCAATTTATAGCCAATTTGAAGAAAACTGAGCTAGCACAATATATTTGAAGCTTTTAATAGGAAGGCATTGCTCTCCAGCATAAAGAAGTGAGCAAAATATAAATACTTAACAAGGATAAAATCATTTCAACTGGGAAAAGAAGGATATAAGAAAATTAAGTTTTCTTTTTTCATTCCCAATATTAGTTGCCTTTTGTTGCAAGTGCAGATGTATGAGTATTTCGCCTGCTGGTTTACAAATTAGAAAATGAAACTGGAGAGTTTGATTTTATTCTCTGAACTTTGTAATATTGGACTTTTTATCTTGTTTGTGAGTCCAGAGTTGTTTCTGTGGCCTAAATCTAAATGGTCCTTCAAATTAGTGAGTAGACCCATTGAATTAACGGAAACACAGTTAAGATGATATTTAAGTAAGGTCCATTGATTCAGTGGCTCTACTGTTTGAGATTAAGGTTGGATTTAGACTGACCTGAGGAAGCATTTTTCAAAACAGAGAAAACAAAAAAAATCTTGACGAAACTAAACGTCCCATTGGACATCTGCAGTGTTCATCTCATCATTAGAAGAGCAGGACAGGACAGTGTACTGTTAAAGATTGTACTGGTATGTTTTGTTTCTAACCTTTGTGAAACATGTGCATTTGACTTTGTTATTTTCCCCTTAAGTCCTATCTGCTGTTCCAGAAGAAGTATGAGCTGTGAATAAACAGGTTGTTTTCATATCAGTCTTATGTCTGTCTCTGTGTGTGCACCTTCAAGATGCCATCATTTTGCTTCTCACATAAAGAAAAGGAAGCTACAAAGACACCATTTCTGAATTTATAACATCAACAATTTATATACAGGATTGCAGTTGAAATCATGTGTAATATGGCTGGCTTTGTGAAGCTCTTTCTCTGTTTTATTGGTTTTGTTTTCACTGCCCTCATTTTTCCTTCTATCTGGAATATTAACTAATTTGCTATAGCAACATATGATATCTAGGCATGGTAGACATTTACATTGGTTAATGATATGGAAAGGTCTCTTTGGTCTTCTATGTTTCCTTACTCTCTATTTTCCAAATCCCAATTTATAGTGATTTATTTAAAATGTTTTTATCCTACCTTTCAAGGAAACTTTCTACAAGGGAGCTACATATAACGTAAATAAGAGAGAGAGATCCATTCCGAAATTGCTGTCTGATGCTGTAACATCACATCTTGCTGTTAGAGGACAGAAGAACCATATCAGATACAGCAAGTTACTATCCAATACATTTGCAATCAGAAATCTCACTTGATTTTAATAGGACTAATTCACAAGTAAATGTATAGATTTGCAACCTAATCTGTACATATATTTGTGAACTGTTCCACATTTGGAAGGCAACTTAAGAAGAAAGTGCATGAAGAAATTGAAAAGCAACATGAGGAAGAAAATGTTAAATCAAAATCACTGTTAAAGGCTTATAATGACTGATTTAAAATCTAATTAAGATTTCTGTGTTCCTGCCATTAGACCAGAATGCCTATATGTTAAAACTTGGATAATATTTTTAAACATTTTATTTCAAAAGGGTTTTACTGTACAATTTTAAAATAGACTGCTGAAATTTCTTGCTTTTGAAATGGATCTTCGACAGAAATCTTAATAAGGAAGAATCATATTATGCATTCAGTCTTTGGGCTAAGATGCTGAGAAAGCATGGATGAAGTCAACCATGAAGGCCCATATTGAGAGAGAAAAAAAATCCATTGAGTTCAATGGAGGCTTAATTTTTAAGTAAGCGTGTGTAGCATTAATACCTCTGGTTAGTAGGTCAAGTCTGTAAAATAAACATAACTCTTTTTTATTGTCCAGTGCTAACATAGTACAGTAAGTATGTTATTGTGCCTACCGATAACTGATGTCTCTAGTTCCACCTTTCCTCCTTGGAACCTCTCTATTCTACTTCAGTGTCCACACTTACAGCTTTTATGTTAGTTAAAAGAGTTGGGCAGTTTTTAAAAGCAAGTACAGGCAGTCCCAGAGTTACAAATGACTCATAGTTAAGAACAGGAGTGAGACAACAGGAAGTGAGAAATCTATCCCTCAGAAGGGAAATTCACTCCTAAAAAACTTATGGAAAAAGGTGTCTTCACTGAAGCTTTCCCACCAAACCTTGCTTCCACAACAAGCCAATTTTTTCAAAATGAGTCTTGACACATTTTGATGCACACTTTGAGTCAACTTGTTTGACTGGATTTTGCATCCATAACACTGAAATTAATTTCACCGAACTCAGCAGAACAAAAACTACAGGATTTCAATTTACAAGCCAATTTACAAGCCATACACACCTTTCATTTCAATTTTTTTAGACCCCAAAAATAGCATTTTCTTAAATGTCATGCGCACTCTGACTGGCGACCCTTCAAGTAAGGGAGTCTGGATCAGCAACTATTGTAGTTAGAGACCTCAAATTTTGGGAAACTTAAGTTTTAACCCCTCACTGGTGCTATGGCTAAAATTTGAGACATGATGGTGGGAAGGTTTAGACCACTTGGCATGGAATAACCCTTTGGTGACACACACCAACACTATTTGGCAGGGAATGTTATAAAGATCTTGTTTAACCATAGCTCTGATGATGTTATAGCATTGAACCATGGCAGCCGAAGGCATTAATTCTACCTTGAAGACGTGACCTGAGATGCCCTTTTTGTACAGAGGCACTATATATCTGCTGGCTTTGTTACTGTTTTGTTGGCTAATGGCGTTGCTACCAATGACCAATCTCAATAAAATAGTGAAGAGTGGAGACATCACACTGGCAATGAAGACCCGCATACTAAAAGCAGTGGTATTCCCCAGTCACCTATGGGTGTGAGAGCTGGACCTTAAGGAAGGCTGAGCGATGGAAGATAGATACTTTTGAACTGTGGTGTTGGAGGAAAGTTCTGAGAGTGCCTTGGACTGCGAGAAGATCCAACCAGTCCATTCTCCAGGAAATAAAGCCCGACTGCTAATTGGAGGGAAGGATAGTAGTGGCAAAGATGAAGTACTTTGGCCACATCATGAGAAGGAAAGCTTAGAGAAGACAATGATGCTGGGGAAAATGGAAGGGAAAAGGAAGAGGAGCCAACCAAGGGCAAGATGGATGGATGGTATCCTTGAAGTAACTGACTTGACCTTGAAGGAGTTGGGGGTGGTGACGGCCGACAGGGAGCTCTGTTGTGGGCTGGTCCATGAGGTCACGAAGAGTCGGAAGTGACTGAATGAATGAACAACAACAATGGCATTGCTGACTTCTTCCAAACTAGTTGGTGGTACGAGCTTATCCCTGGTTTGTTGTTGCGGGATTTGTGAGAGAACCTCTTCGGCCACATTGGAGCTGTGATTCAGGAGGCTTTGGTAGTGTTCTTTCCAACGTAGTGCAATTGATTTTTTGTCTTTCAGAAGTCTGGTTCCCTCTGATGAGCATAGAGCAATGTTTCTCAACCCTCCTAATGCCGTGACCCCTTAATACAATTCCTCATGTTGTGGTGACCCCCAACCATAAAATTATTTTCATTGCTACTTCATAACTGTAATTTTGCTACTGTTATGGATCGAAATGGAAATATCTGATATGCAGGATATATTTTCCCATGATCAACAGAAAATACTGGAAGGGTTTGGTGGGCATTGACCTTGAGTTTGGGAGTTGTAGTTCACTTACATCCAGAGAACACTGTGGACTCAAACAATGATGGATGTGGACCAAACTTGGCACGAATACTCAATATACCCTAATGTGAACACTGGTGGAATTTGGGGGAAATAGACCTTGACATTTGGGAGTTGTAGTTGCTCGGATTTATAGTTCACCTACAATCAAAGAACAGTCTGTGTCCCACCAATGATAGAATTGGGCCAAACTTCCCACACAGAACCCCCAATATTGTGTTTTCTGATGTCTTTGGCAACCCCTCTGACACCCCCTCAACCCCCCCAGGGGCCCCAACCCCCAGGTTGAGAAACACTGGCTAGATATGGCATAGACACCAAGAATGGCCCTTGAGCACTCTAACTGGAGGTCAGCTGTAACCAGTAGTACTGCAGAATTCGAAGAGGCACGAACGGAGGGAGAAACGTGCCAAGAAAAAGGCGCGTCGAGCCAACCCTGACCAGGACCGCCTTCCACTTGGAAAATGATGATGTCCTTAGTGTGGGAGAAGATGCGGATCAAGAATAGGGATCCCCTGCCAAGACACCACATCTGGAAGACCATCATCCTTGAGCCACGAGGGATCACCTAATATTATATATCCCAGGCATGGGCCAACTTGAGCCCTCCAGATGTTTTGGACTTCAACTCCCATCATTCCTAACAGCCTCAGGCCCCTTCCTTTTCCCCCTCAGCCGCTTAAGCGGCTGAGGGGGAAAAGGAAAGGGCCTGAGGCTGTTAGGAATGATGGGAGTTGAAGTCCAAAACACCTGGAGGGCCCAAGTTGGCCCATGCCTCATGTATCCCAATCCAAGGCCTTCCCAAGGCCTAGGGATCTGTGTGTGTCTTTGACGCCTCAATGCCAATTCCAAGGCATGGAGACTCTTCCTTTGGACAGAACTGGTTTGAGGGGATGTCCTGGCCTTGCAAGGCGCTGCAGATTCGCCTTTCCTGAGGAAATAAAATGAATATTAAGACAAAGCTCTGTATATTATGGAGGGGGAGAGAAGGAGGCGCTCCACACAAAAGCCCAATAATGGATTCTGGAGCGACGATGGTTTAGCAAGGATTAGTCATCCTAATTAAGGAAGATGGGAGGGAAGAAGGGAAAGCAGGCTGAAGACGAATCCCAGGAAGAGCCACAGCTCACGCATTTAGGTTGCTTCAAGTAAAGCTATTTGGTGTTGAAGTGTGTGTTTACATACATATTAAGGGGGGTGGGCACACTGATTCTGACTAAATCATGATCATGACATGTATTCCTCTCGACACAAATGTATTTTGTGTAGCCCTCAAGGTGTATTCCTATGGATATATTCTATGACACAGTGTTTTCAAGTGTTTCCCCAGGATCTCATACAAGAGTAATTGGTGCGTATCCCTTTAAATAACCATCCTAAAAGCTCCGCCCCTTTTCCCCCTCCCTCCCTCCCCTCCCTTTCACTGGAGCGCAGTAAAAAGACGACGACAACGACGACGCCGCACGGCCCTGCAGAAAGGCCTCCGCCCTGAGCAGCGCCTTTAAGAGGAAAGGGCGGCACGTGACCAAGCCCCGCCCCTTTTGTGCCCCCACCCTACCCTCGCGCGCGCTCGCTCGCTCGCGCACACCTGTTTGTAAGGAGGGGCGGGGTGAGGCATCCATATATATATATAAATAAATAAATAAACAAACTTCTCAGGAAGTATCGCGAGATTTTGTTCTTTTTTTCCTTTTCTTTTAACCGAGCGTGCGCATGCGCACTTCTGGAAAGTCTGCCGGGAGTTGTATCCAAAATGGCTGCCGCGATGGATGTTGACACACCAAGCGGGACCAACAGCAACGCCGGCAAAAAGCGTTTCGAAGTGAAAAAGGTGAGAGGAAAAAGGCGAGGCCTTGGGGTTGAGAAGGTGGCGGATGTAGCGGGACCTGGGGAAGGGTTATTTCCCCCCCCCGGGGACCATATTTCATGTTGAATGTGAGGTGAAAGCGAAAAGTGATGGGGAGGCTTAGTGGGCCGCGTTGTCTTGGTCCAGACCTCGCCTAGATCCCGAACAGGAAGCTTCTTTGGAAGCTTTTAAACAGAGGCTGGATGGCCATCTGTCAGGGGTGATTTGAATGCAATATTCCTGCTTCTTGACGGGGTTGGACTGGATGGCCCATGAGGTCTCTTCCAACTCTTTGATTCTATGATTCTATGAAAGTGCTTTCCATTGGCGCCCTCGTTTCCCAAGGTTGGTTCCAGTTGAGATACATGTTTGAGCGGGAGCCTTTGTGCTCCTCTGATTTTCAAAGGTGGGATGCACTGCAATGTGGCGGGAAATCAGATTTCTCTAGTATAGTATTTCCCAGGCAATGGGAAAATATCCATATTTAACAGAAATTGTGGATATTTCATCACAAGTCAGAAATACGGCAATTCTTGTTCATTAGCAGAATAATAAAACTTGAGAATCAGAAATACGATAATAAATGCAACAACTTTTTGGGGATAAGATAATTTTAAAAATGGGGAAGCTTTTCAAAATAACAATTCAAGTTAATATGGAATTTATGTTCATGGCAATTACCGGGAATAAAAACATTCAGGCTATATGGCCATGTTCTAGAGCAGGGGTCCTCAAACTAAGGCCCGGGGGCCGGATGCGGCCCTCCAATGTCATTTGCCTGGCCCTCGCTCAGGGTCAACCTAAGTCTATAACGACTCAAAAGCACACAACAACAACAATCCTATCTCATCAGCCAAAAAGCAGGCCCACACTTCCCATTGAAATACGAATATATTATTATATTTGTTAAGATTGTCCTTCATTTTAATTATTGTATTGTTTTTTTAAAAAAAATTGCACTACAAATAAGATATGTGCAGTGTGCATAGGAATTCATTCATGTTTTCTTTTTCAAATTATAATCCGGCCCTCCAACAGTTTGAGGGACTGTGACCTGGCCCTCTGTTTAAAAAGTTTGAGGACCCCTGTTCTAGAGGCATTCTCTCCTGACATTTCTCCTGCATCTATGGCAAGCATCCTCTGATGCTTCAATTTAAAAACATTTCACCAGTTGCAAATCATAATCCAGTTCCATTCATTGTGGTCACTTAAAACATTATCTTCCCAGTTGCTCCAGCCATTGTTCAAATGCTTGATCCCACAGCCAGGTTTTGAGTTTTTTATGGAAGGTCAGGAGGGAGAGGGCAAACCTAACTTCATTGGGGAGGAAGTTCCACAGCCGAGAAGACACCACAGAGAAGGCCAGTCTCTCATCTTCACTGGTCGTGCCTGCGAAGGTGGTGGGACCAAGAGCAGGGCCTCCCTGGATGATCTTAACGTCCTTGGTGGTTTGTAAGGGGAGATAGGTTCAGACAGGTAAGAAGAAGACACACATTAAAAAAAATAGTTAAACTGGCTTGTTTACAGTACAACTTCTATATCAATAGGAATGCTATTTGGAAATTTATTTATCCACATTTGACAAATAATGTTCTCTTTGGGCATTCTCTAGGTCCTCTAGCATGGTTTTCTTGGAACAAAAAATCCTTAATTTCAACAGGGTTTGTTATTATCCATGGATTCACAAACTCATGTGAAGCCTCATTTTGTGTTTTGCTAGGCTCAACAGCGATGCAAAAAAAAAGTAACAAAGAAAAATTGCATTAATTGTAATTTCATTCTTTAGTGGAATGCAGTTGCACTCTGGGCTTGGGACATCGTGGTTGATAACTGTGCCATTTGCAGAAACCACATTATGGATCTGTGTAAGTACCTCCAGAATATTTGTGCTGTATATACAGTTATTGTGGATATCAGAGGATGACAATAAAAAGGAGCAAGATGATGAAAACATAACTTCATAGCAGTCTCAACAATTCATGATTAATTGTAGAAGCCCCTGGTGGCGCAATGAGTTAAACCCTTGTGCCAACAGGACTGCTGATGGTTTGAACCCGGGGAGTGGGGTGAGCTCCTGTCTGTCAGCTCCAGTTTCCCATGCGGAGACATGAGAGAAGCCTCCCACAGGAAGGTAAAACATCCGGGCATCTCCTGGGCAACATCCAGTTCTCTCACACCAGAAGTGACTTGCAGTTTCTCAAGTCATTCTTGACAGTGAAAAGAAATGGTGAATTGTGTAGTTAAACTACACATATAAGATTAGAGGAGTAATTCAGTTACAGAGGAATAATTAATGCATTAAGTTATGGCTATATTTGCAATATAAACTTAAATTAGTTTTCTGGCCTCCTATGAAGAACCTGAGGATTAGGAGGTTATACTGTTAGGAACTCTTACTTTAGATCTCTAAAGACCTAATTTCCATTCTTTCATGTAATATTGTGACTGCAGTTGTAGTTGCTCAGTACAACTATATTGTTTGGGATAGTATCTACATGTCTACATTGCAGTTCTTGCAATATACAAAATTGCTTCTTCATCTGGGATCATTAATGTAAGAATTGTCATGCAGAATCGGATTAAAAGATCCATCCTGTGTGATAATGTGTTATTAAGACAGATTTCTAGATAACTTCGAAGGTACAGAGCATAATGAAACAGTTCTAGGCAATGGCCTGGTTTGACTGATTTGAGATTTCATAGCTACCTTTGTTTATAGAGCAGGATTTAGTGCTAAGTACTCCTCCATCACCTCTTCCCACTGTACATCCATAGTTGGAATCTGTTACCTATCAGTTAATCAACTAGAAAAATAAACTAGGATTACATGTGAATGATACATCCAGATTCCTCTCATCCAATGGGAACTGGGTCTAAAGATACTTTAATTCTGTTTTTCATCATGTGTCTGCCTCTTTTGTTATCTCGAAATATCTATATTTAACAGAAAATGTGAATATTTCATCACCAGTTATCTTTTCAGTAATAATCAATGTTTCTCTTTAATCTTGTTCTTCCAGGCATAGAATGTCAAGCTAACCAAGCATCAGCTACCTCTGAAGAATGCACTGTTGCATGGGGTGTCTGTAATGTAAGATGTCTACTTTTCAGTTCGTACAAACATCCAAGTTTGTGGGAAATAACCATAAATGGTTTTGTTATGAAGATCAAAGCTTGTGGGGAGGGGAACTTGAAAAGTTTTGTTAAATGCCCCATAGCTAAACTCCATAGATTTCCTGCTTTATACTTATATTGATCCTATACATTAATAAATTAATTGTTTTATGTTCTCAGAATGTGTTGAGGTGGGGGTAACTCTAGATTCATTAAGGACGATTGCAGTTAGGTGAAATTGAAAGGCAGAGGACACAGTGATCTAGTTGTGCAAAATGTTTGGTATATACCATGCAAAACTTTCCTTTTCAAAAATCTGTCTTGATCCACAGACTGATATTTGCAATGATCAGAATCCTCTTGTTGAAATAATCATAATTCCTCTAGGCTTTAACATTATTATTCATTAACAGTCAGCAGACAAGGGGGAGTAAATAGGGTACATGTTGGCAGGGGGTGGGAAAATGTGAGGAAATATTCAGATCAACAACAGATGTTCTGTTCTGTAACTAGGCATATTTCCAGTCTTCTCTAAGAATCCTTTCAATGATAGATACATATTACTGCTATAACATAACATTTAACCATGGTGCTGACAGGGACTTTGAAAGCAGTCTGCCTCGTGGCAGAGGCTGAACTCAACAGGCTGTAAGATCCCATAGGGCACTGTTTCTCAACCAAATAAATGCTGCACTTGTTAAATTCCACACCTCCCCAAAAACACCAATCACACTGTTTCCATGTCATAAAATTCATTAAAACCTGTGGTTATTTAAGAGTACTGACATTATTCCATGCCAACCTTTTGCTCTGTACCTCTGGGTGCTGTGTTTTTCTTTCTTTGAAATTGCTTCCTAATACAAGTTTTCTTCATTAAAATACAGCTTTCCACTTATTGCTTGAGTAACTGTGTTTTATTTTTCAGCACGCTTTTCATTTTCATTGTATTTCTCGCTGGCTTAAGACTCGGCAGGTTTGCCCCTTGGACAATCGAGAATGGGAATTCCAGAAGTAAGTATACTGTGCTTCTGTAAATTAAATATTCTTTATCACTTGTAATTAAGATGCCACCTCTCTAAAATTTTATTGAAAGATAATAATAATAATAGTAATAATAATAATAACCCGCATAGTGATGTCAACAGACTTTTCCTGCCCAGAAGATCAGGAGGCAGAGGGCTTCTGCAAGTGAAACAAATGGTAGAAGAAGAGAAACGTGCACTGGCAGATTATGTGAAAGGCAGTCAAGAACCAACATTGATGGAAGTCAATAGTAGTAAATTGCTTAAAGTGCAAAAGACAAAGAGGGAATACCGTAAAAACACAATCCAGAGCAGAAGAGAAAACTGGCAAAAGAAGGCACTCCATGGACGGTTTCTGGCAAAAATTGAGAGCCAAATTGACAAAGAAAAACATGGCTGTGGCTCACAAATGGAACTTTGAAAAAGGAGACAGAGGGCCTGGTTTTGGCAGCCCAAGAACAAGGCATTAGAACCAATGCCATCAAAGCCAGAATTGAACAGTCGACAACAGATCCCAAATGTAGACTCTGCAAGGAAGCAGATGAAACAATAGATCACATCCTCAGCTGCTGCAAGAAGATCACGCAGACAGACTACAAGCAGAGTTATAACACCCATTGCTCAGATGATTAATTGGAACTTGTGCCACAAATACCATCTACCATCTGCCTGCAACAAATAACTGGTGGGATCACAAGCCAGAAAGAGTTACAGAGAATGAACACACCAAACTCCTCTGGGACTTCCGGATTCAGACAGTGTTGGAGCATAATACTCCTAATCTCACAATCGTGTTAAAAAAACAAAGTATGGATCGTTGATGTCACAATCCCAGGTGACAGCAGGATCGAAGAGAAACAACTGGAAAAGATGGCACAATATGAGTATTTAAATATCAAACTGCAAAGACTCTGGCACAAGCCAGTCAAGGTGGTCCCAGTGGTGATTGGCACACTGGGTGCAGTGCCTAAAGACCTTGGCCTGGACTTAAACACAATCGGCGCTGAAAAGATTACCATCTGCCAGTTGCAGAAGGCCACCTTACTGGAATCTGCATGCATTATTCGCCGATACATCACACAGTCCTAGACACTTGGGAAGTGTCTGATGTGTGATCCAATTCAACAACCAGCAGAGTATCTGACGTGGACTCATCTTGTTGTGTTTATAATAATAATAATAATAATAATAATAATAATAATAATAATAATAATAAACTTGATTTGTATTCCGCCCTATCTCCCTTAGGGGACTTTGGACAGATTCCAACAAACAAAAAACACAGAGGCAAACATTCAGTACCTCAAGACAGGTGCAAACAATACATTAACAACCCACCCAATCCCAAAGCAATCATGATATGACCATCATGATAGTTGTTGGTAGTATTCCATAGACCATTCAGTTAGCTAATGTCAACATTTATATTTTAAGTGATTGTGAGACATCATAATGTTACTGATTTCTAAAACAAAACTGCATTTCTCTCTAGGTATGGACACTAGCAAGACAGAAGATTAGCAAGTTTACTCTGTTCTAAGTCTATCCCACATCCAGTTTTCCCATGCACCTTTCCCATGGATTGTTCCTGTGACTTGTTTATTTCACCATAATATAATTCTGTGAATATTAATAAACCCTGATGGCTGTCTGAGTTTGTTTTCTTACAATTGGATTCGTTTCATTACACACACATGTTTTTAATACTATTTTAATTTAGAATGCAATAAACTAATGTAAAACATAAAAAATAACCTATTTGAAAGTTTTTGTACATCTATCTCAATTAAAATCACCACCAGAAATTGAACATTGTCTTAGTGATTGGTCCCAGAAAGAATTATTGTTCCTCTGTGGCATAGGAATCTTAACTTTTTATGATTTCCTTGAGGTTAATATATATATAAGAAATGCATGCACTTAGACTACAGCTTCCAATCGTTTAGAGTTCTGAAACAATTAAGAACATTCTTACCAGACAAATATGTTCCTTTCCTAGTTTCAAGCCAAGTGTGCCCTTTACACCAGTGGAATTCATCTCTTTGATGCAGTAAACTTAAGTAAACCAATCACTTAGCTGCCTGCTCCATGAAACAGACCTTCCTCTTTTTTCTGTTTTACTGAGATTTTTTTTTCTTCTGGAAAAAAAACACTTTCATTTGCAAGCAATCATGATATAAATATACAGTCAGTCCTTGAGTTACAAAAATATGACTTACAAACGACTCAGTTAAGAGCAGGGATGAGATAACTGGAAGTGTGGGGAAATTACCTCTGGGAGGGAAATTCACTCATAAAAGAGTTATGGGAAAAAGGCGTCTCCACTGAAGCTTTATTACTGGTCCTATCTTGTTCATAACTTGAGGACTCCATTTACTCCAAGACTTGAGTTGAGAAGGCTATGGATCAAGCAGATCTGTCCCCTGCCTCCCTGCCAGCCACCATGTCCTCAACCCAAACTCTTTTTTGTTGCTTTTGAAGTCAGTAGTTCAAACTTCAAAATGAAGTTATGTGATCAAAATGGGGAATCTGTGATTGGATCTCCTGCTGAGGCTGGAGAATCATTTTATTTATTTATTTTTAATAGTCTTTATTGAGTATCTAAAAATTATAGTTAAAACGTTGATAGGTGTTGATAGAAAAGAAAAAGAAGGAAAGGGAAAGAGAAAGTATAAAAAAGAGAAAAAAGAGAAAATCATCAGCCTCAGATTCCTAATTCAAAGTATGGTCATGTTTCCATCATATATACAAAAATTAAAGGAAGATCTAGAAACTTGGTATAAAGTAACACTTGGGAATTAAACTATGCTTTTGAATATGAACAATGGTTTTCAACATTGATTATGAAAATGGGGGCTTTGTGTTTACTATTAAGGATTTCCTTCAAAGTCCTTAATAAGGACTTTCATTGCAAAGCATTGATGATGATTCAGGGAGGAACAAAAGCCAGTCTTTCCTATACTTCCTGTTCTTCAGGTGTGTGTGTTCTATATAATAGCTTCCTCTTCTCACTGGCCCATTTCCAGTCCTTTACAAAGCCTTTGATGGTCTCCATTTTCAACTAAGTAGGCTGCATTCAAACTTACTGGTTATTCTTCTAAATTAAAGTGAACTATGACTCATCCAGTAAGCAGAGATTCTTAAAACTTAATTGTATACTGTATATCTGAACTTAATTCTTAATTTTATGTCTTTAAAAGTTTACGTATTTATTCCTCTATTGCAAAGCACAGTCTGCAAGGGATTGTATTCTTTTAAGTGTGTGCTATTTTAAACAAGGACTGGTTTGGATTTTGAAAGGTTACTAACCACCTAGCTTCAACTTAGTGCAAAAGGATCATGAATTACTATACATTTCAGCTGTTGAACAAAACAACCTCTTGTTCTCATTTTCTGGATGGCTAAAGAAAAAGAAGCAAAAGAAAAACAATTAAAAATACAATTGTTAGGCAACCTAAAACTTTTCTCCTATTGTAGACAGAATAGTTAGTATTCGAATTTCTAAAAGCCCACAGCTCATTTAAAATGACATATTTTAGATGTGTGTGAATTTTTAAAAAATCATATAGCATTGCAGATATATGATAAAGAAGATCCAAGGAGATATTGTCAGAGAAAGGTATTTCAAATCTCTGAAGACATTAAGAGCTCTTTTCTATAGCCATCTACCTCATTACAAAGAACAGCACTGGAAAAAGATGTTGTATTGTAATGGAAATGTTTTAGGGGGACATTGCTCTCTCAGTTAACATAAGCACAAACTATTAAACACTTTTTACCTTTTAAGATAGGCTGAAAAAAATGAATTAAACAGTTGTAGAACACTGCCACAATAGGATTAAAATTACATTTTCCAAATAATGTTCAAACTCTATTATGAATTGACTCCTGTGTTTACATGCAACAGTCGTTAGGAGATTATCAGAGTAGTATAGTTAAAAGTACTCTTCGAGCTATGGGTTATATGTAATTTGTCAAAACACAGACATAAGGTCGGCCCTGATAAAGATCTGGGAGAAATACAAGTCTATATCCTACACCAAAACACCAGTTTGGATATCAGTTGGAAGCAGGTCACAGAAGAGAAACCGCACAGGGTACATGATTAACATACAGAGACCTGAAAAAGTGGGATAATTCTGAAATCACTGGAAGAGATGGCCCTCTTAGATAAAGGAATTTCCTGGTTCCAGCATAGACAAATTTAGATAATATTTTATTAAAGACAAGAGCAAAGGCTTTGCAGATAAATAAACATTTTGGGACAAAATTATGAAGTCAGAAAATAAATTGATAACTAAAATACATATAAATTATTGGAATGGTCTATGGAAACAGAGTTAGTAAAAATGTATGACAAAATGGGCTGCAAATATTGGACACACAATTCAATTAGAGAGTGGGAAAAGATGTGGAACCAAAAAATAAAGTGAACTTATGCCTATGATTTAAAGGAAAACTGGTTAAAAATTATGTACAGATGGTGCATCACCCCCCCCCCCCAACTAGCCATATTTTATCCAAAATTAAATAACAAATGTTGGAAATGTGAGGATCATGTAGGGTCTTTTTACCACATGTGAAGCTGATTCTAAACAGATCATATGGAAATAAAAGAAGTAAATAACCACAGTTGATAAAACTGGAAGTCAAACRCTTCAATCCCTATTCCCCCCCCCTCTTTTTTCCCTTCCCCCCCTTGCTTATCTTCCCTTCTTTTTTTTTCCTCTCCCTCTATTTTCCTATCTCCTCTTCCCTTCCCTCTTCCCCCCCCCCCAAGGAATCCCCCCCCCCGCCTTTCCTATTTTATCTTTTATCATATTTATGTTGATACTATTCATTAATAAAAAGTATTTTAAAAAACACAGACCTAATTTATTAGGCTTCTTGAACCTCTAACGATAATGTTGACATTAAAGTTCAAATTGCAAATTGACATTAAAATTAAGTTTGTTTGTGTGAATGACCCAACTATCAACAGTACCTCTCCACTTTATCTGGACTCAAAGTAACATTTATTTCTCATATCATATCTTGGCACAGGGCTTCAACTGTTTCACCTTCATTTACTGAAAAAAGAGGGGTAACAAGTTTTTATTCTTTCGGGAGGAAAACCAAATTTATAAGTGACCTTTTACATTTCTAGAAATAATATGGGCGAAATAATAGGTCCTTATGAGAAGCCAAAGACAGACTGTGGTATAGTGACTTTAATTTTGGAGTAGGACATTGGGAAACCAGGGTTTTAATCCCTACTTTGCTATGGGAGCCCACCAAGTGACTTTGGGCAAGTCACACTGTCGGTTTCAAATGAAGACAATGGCAAATCCCCTCTGAACATACTCCACCAAGAAGCCCTGTGATGGGTTTATCTTAAGGCTGTCCTAAGTTAGAAATGACTTGAGGGCATACAATACCTATGAGGGCCTAAAACACTATCATGACATGAAACAACGTTCTGGGACCAGCCTGCCAAGTACAGAATAATTCCCAAGAAGCACCCTACCACACACCAATTTCATCCAGAAATCTATAAGGGCCAGTGGGATTGAAAACCACAAAGAAGTTCAGGGGATTCAACAGAGTTCTGTTTCTTTCCAGTCAAAGGTCTCACAGTAAGTAATACACCCTCAAAACTGGAAAGGAATGTGGAATATGCGAATATTAAAAAAATATGTCAATAAGAATAAAAGAGAATTATTACAAAGTGATGTGGAGATGGTATCTCACGCCAATCAGATTAAATCAAATCGATATGAAACATTCTAAGCAGTGCTGGAGGCAGGGCCGGCCCTTGGTAATTTTCAATGGTAAGCAAACATTATTTTGGCGCCCCCTCCCCCCAACCAATCACTGAAAAATAAAACGTAGAAGGTAGAGGTGAATAAAAGAGTTACCTTACAAACCAGAAATTTACTTACAACATTATGTTTATATAGTTACATTACACAAATTAACTTTTTTAAGAATGCAAATATTTTACTAAACTTAGCAACAATTTTAAGTTTTTGTTGTTATTTTTGGTCTACAAGTACTACACAAAGGTTTCCTGGTCATGCTGTCTCTTCAGAGAAGATTTTTCAGACTAGGGGTTTGCTAATAACAGAGAACTCAATCCCATGCTTGTTGGGTCTGTCAATCAGATTTGTTTTGGAGAACGCAGCCCCAGGAGAATAGACACCTCCTTTTTAAGAAAGTGAACTCTTGTCCTTCAAAAGTGCCATGCCAGCCTGGACCATTACAATGGGTGTGGCAACGTAGTCAGCCTCTGGCCCCTTCACTTTAGTGGATACTTTAACATCCAGTTTTCCTTAACACAAATAAACTTGAACACTTTTAAAATTAAAAAGAGATTTTTCTGGCTTTCAATTTTGAAAACTCGTGTACTATTATATCTGTTTCCATTTCATCCAACAAGCCATTTTCAATGGCCAAGGTTGCTAGTCCACTCAAGCGCTCTACGTCAACGACTTAAATCAAGAAATAGTTTTCTTAGATCTACAGAGACACTCGCTGGAACACCTCAGCAAGCGAGAGTTCAAAAGTGGCAGGCTCAAACCCAGCACCTCAGCCCATGGCTGATACCAGATGAGAGACTCCCCCCTGGGCACACAGAGGACTGGGTGACTTGGAAATGGAAAGGAATCACACAGG